ATTACCGCTGTCCCATAATCTTACGTAAAATTTAAATTTCCTCCAGATCCGGTTTCACTACTTCCCATACGGTGTGCACAGTGTAGGCCTGGAGCTGAAAGTGGTCAAGATTCAGTCACACCACAACACAACCTCAAGAATATTCTGGTTCTTTGGAAGTCAGGGACACGGCTGGATCAGATCGGTCATCATCTTGCCAAATATTACGCACAGGTGACTGCTCATTACGCATGAGGTATTGTCCCAATCAGGTTTGAGGCGGACTTAACGTCGTGGTTGCTTGTTCACAGGTACTACCTGCAATTCCATGCAGTGAAGGGATACAAACCTGGCTACATGAGTTTGGATGACTTCTCCATGAGTCCTGAGTGTTTTGGCTTTGGTAAGTTGGGACGTAATATTATTTACGACAATATTCCAGTCTTATGGGATGCCGAGTCTGGGAAAACAAGATTTTGGTGTCTAACTGTCCCCATGTTTGTATTAAAATTAGTAGAACCTACTCGTTGGGGTCCGTTAGATAAAGGCTGTCCTTGTCACTAGAATTTTTAAGGAATTTTGTCATTTGAATTTGTGTTTTCAGTATTAAGTTTAGTCTTCTGTGAATCACAGAATAGAATAATCAAATTTTATTGTTCCTTGATGTTTTCTTCTGGGTTCTGACACCTCGTGGTAGTGGAAAAGGATTCTGACATATCAGAGGAACATACTACCTCGATCTTCGAGTCAGAAGTGTTGAAAATTATAAGTAATGGTTTGTGTATGAAATGGTGGACATGAGGTTTTATTATGTGCAGTGTCAGAGAAGATGTTCCTTGATAATGTTGGAGAACTTTTCCGCTGTCAAACAGCGTAGGAACTCGGAAGAAGACGAAATAAACTACGGCGACCTCCGTTAAGACCAGAAGTAATAAATGTGTTTTTATATTATCGTGTACTCTTCCTTCAGGTGTGCCTGCCAATGTATCAGGTGACTACGTGTACAACAGTACTTACTGCTACCAGACAGGTGAGGACGACAGGCCCAGTATTGCATTTCTATTTCTCTTTGTGATAACATGCATTCATACTTAAACAGTGTTTTCTTTCTAAACCAGATGCAGCAGATAAGGATATACACCAAGATTTCATCAACAAGACCGGTGAGTACTTGAGGTCGATGCGTATTGAGAGTCATAAAAGGTTATTTTACCCCTCGATTTGAACGTAATCTAATACGTAAAGGATGGTTATTAATTGCAGATACTTAAAAAAATGACGGGGAAAGTATTTGAAGCTAAGACAGGTGTTCCAACGGTGGAGTCAAGGAAATGACAAAATCATTAATATTATTTTTGTAGTACCGGTAAATTAGATGAGCGTTAAGTGGAAGTGATTTAATTCCTTTGGCTTTTTGCAGGTTTGTTATCTTGACTCTACAGGATTCCTAAAGCTTTTCAAACAACATTAAAATACGTGAATCTTTCTGTCAAGATTTGTATGTAGAATTAAATTGTTGATCGCTGTGCAGTGTACGCCCTCACTACTTGTGGAGCGAGAGGCGAGGAAGGTCCAACATCAGAGAACTGCTTTACAGCATACCAACATTCTGCCACAAATGTCTCTGTGCTGGACGCTGCCCCTTGGGCTGGCATACAACGATGGACAGTTCCGGAAGGTGGCTATTACACGTGAGTATCAAATTCAGGATGGATGCTGTTGTGCTGAGTGTCCATGTTATCAGAGCACTTCCTAAGAATATCAAATCTAAAAGTTCTTTGGTTATTTCATAGAACTCTGAATTCATCTCTTCTTTGTTTGATTTATTACTGGAAATGGCGTAACCTGTTTTGCGACAGGAAACAGATTTAAACTGATATTTATCTTCTCAGTCTTCATATAATCCATTGTCCGCTGCTGTATAAATATGTTGGTCCAGCAAGGTCCTTATAAATCGGCATTCATATTTGAACGTGCGTGTAGAATTCAAAATTCAAAGGATTTAATGAAAAATAAAATATTTTTGTGTTTATATATTTATGGAAATTTATAACATCAATTAGCATAAAGTCCAAGATAAACCTGAAGATATACTGTTGCATGCTTAATGAAGAAGATTGGAAGAATACAAAAAGAAACAAAATTACTTGCATGTTATGCGTGTAGGATGCGGTTAAGTTTACGTTAGAACTGGGATACTGGGAACGACCCGTTCTTCAAGTGGCTGAGCGCTGCGAGTCTCAACTTTACAGGTAGAGGCCTTGCGACGGGCCGATCCCTCGTCCAAGGAGTCCTACCGAATGTCCATAGATCAAGCCAACTAATAAAAAGGTTGGGGACCCATAAAGGGTACCGGAAAAAGAAGAATAATAATTAACATCATCAGTATCATCATCATTGTTAGTCATGTTTTGCAGTGTATTTTGGTCTCTGAATCATCTCTCCGAGACAGCTAGTGTCGATGTGCTTTCAATTCTCGCTCCTGGGCTTTGCCTCACATTCAGATCACTGGTTTCAGGATCATTGCAAAGGGTGCAAGTGGGGGCCATGGCCCTGTTGGAGGCTCCAGTACCGGCGCTATCGTGCGCACAGTCGTCGAGCTTCACAGAGGACAGCACTTGTACGCACTCGTTGGACAGGAAGGCTCCAGTGGCTGCAAAGTGAGACTCGTGCACGGCTACTAACCAGACTAGCTTGACTCAGTTGGATCGTAAATAATAATATCCCCATTTAAATAATTTATAGGAATTGCGACAAAAAAAGCATTTCTTATGTTCACGTTATCTTATTATTTTCTTCTTAACTCTGGCAGCTAAGTCGTGGTAGTATAATCATTACATCTGATTGGTGTTTTGGAGGAATGGTGCTACATGTAATTAGGTTACATCAGTTCCAGGTATATAGGTTTTAAGTTATTAATTTTGTTTGTTGGTTAATGTGTTAACAGTTGCAGTCGAGTCCTGAATAGTAGACCTTCGGTTATCCAACATTCCTTTTTAATCGACGTGCCGTGTCAGAATGCTCCGTTTTGTCAGTCATACTCTGTTCTGGAGACTACTAATGTTCAGTCGCTTCTGTGACCTTGCTGGTGAGGGGAGGAGGCACAGAAGCAAATGCCCATTACCAATTCCTTAAAAAACTCTTTTATTTGCAAATTTACATTATATAAAATAATATTTTTGTTTGTGAGAGTTTTTATTTGATGCCATGTTGTATTTTCTTTGGTTTTTATAGTATCATAAATTGAGTTACGAATTCATCGATATTTACCCTCATCTTTTTCGTCAGTCTTCCATTCATATCCATTTATTTTCCGGTCATATCTTTGTATATTGCGATTATCTGACCCGTTTGATCTCAATTAAGTCGGATGATCGGAACTCAGCTGTACATATGTCCAGTGCTTCAAACCTAATAAACTAACAATTTTGTGTCTTACGGACTGCTAAAGAGTGGTGGGTTTTCCAAGTACTATCACCTTGTCTCTCCACGTTGTGCAGTATAAATAGGTCTGGAAATATAATTACATATGTTTATTTAAAATATAAAAATGAATATATTGTATTACAATTGAAGATGTATTAATAATCTGAATTATCAGACATCTGTCTTCCAAGACTTGGGTATTCATAATGTAATTTGAAACAAGATTTACAAACCAAATTTCTAAAGTAACATAAATGTGTGTTAGTGGAATTTACTCCCTAAAAGATTTTGTGGTTATACCACCATCACTTTGTTACCAGATTTATGGTAAAAATATGAAGCTTTTGAACGTGAGGTTTGATTCACGGCAGATCAGACTTTCTGTTTTTTATCTTGTCGTAATATGAGGGAGTTTACGTCACTGTGTCGCAGGACCCAAGCAGAGAGACCTGTTCCCAGTCCAACAAACCGAGTGCCTCCAAAAGCAGTTCATTAATACGTATGCTAGTGCTGCCACAAGAAAACAGCTCTATCAGCAAAGTGCGAACTCTCAACTTCACGTATGGGGGCGGAGGAGGCGGTGGTGGCACTTTCGTGTTCCTGGTGAGTCCCGTGCGTCGTACTGGCCTATTTCATCACTCACTGCAAGCGTTGTGGACGCTGACTCAATATTCTTGTTCTGCAGGTGAACCGAGACAACAAGTCTGTGCCGCTGGTAGTGGCATCTGGTGGAGGTGGCCTGAGTCACAGCAAGAGTAAAAATGATAGTGTTCAGCATGGGCGTGGTCTAAATGCTAGCAGATTGGACGTGACTGGCACTGAGTTTGGTGTTGGTGCTGCAGGTAGTGTGAAGATTATTTGTCTGTCTACCTCGTGCGTCTCTGGTTAGAAGCGGATTTACAAGGTGTAGGAAGAGTTGCCACATTGAATTCGTGTTGTTTCTTTCCGCTGTATTTATCAGACAGTGTTCTGCTTTGTGATTTATTGACAGGCTTGTAGTATTACTGAACACACTTCGTACCATGAAATTACATTTGACAACAGTGTGATTTTAAGGCAGTAGTGATTTTCATCATTTAGAGGTAATACAGAACAGGTGAGACTGTTCTAAAAATAAGGGGTTATATTGGAAAGCCACACTAAAATTACGCTATGTAAACTTGAGAAATTTTAGTTCTTGTAAATGTAAACTGTTCTAGGTGCGGGCGGTGGCTGGAGGAAAAACAGCAATTTGGAGTTAAGGATGGAAACTGGAAGGGCACTCCTGGACAGTGGCGTTGGTGGAAAGGCATGTTACAGAGGGGATGGTGCTGGAGGGTTTGGTGGCGGAGGGGGTGGTTGTGCAGCAGGGGGTGGTGGAGGTGGATTTGCAGGTTTGTATGTGTGAGATGAGGTCTGCATACATTAGAAAGAACACTTTATCTGCTAGAAGATGTTTTGTTCATGTGTCGAGGAGGAAGTAGGAATAAATCATGGCTCATATTTACATATTACCCAGTATTTACTTATAGATACTGAGGAAGAGCATGATAAATTTAATTTTCAAGAACATGAAGTATGAGTACTAACCACTACACTGTTGTGTTATAACAGGTGGCAACGCATGGTCAGCGCCCACAAGGAATGGGGAGGGCGGCTACTCATATGTCAGAAAAGAGATTCTGAGTGATATTGAGACTGGAAAACACCATGGCTCGGGTTCAGTGCTTATTATTCCCGGGTTAGACAAGGCCTGCAGTTGCGACTATCGCTGCGTGGCACTGGATGAGTTCCGCAGCAGCGTCCAGTGCATTTGTCCTGAAAACTGGTTGCTCGCTGCTGACAACACGTCTTGCATATGTAAGTAACCTGTTTGTGTGTTTCATCACCAGAATTTCTGGTGGCGAAACTGTATGACAAAACATGGCATAAAATTTGCCAATTTCTAGTACTTTTTAAAATTATCAAATGGATATATCAGGGGTTTCACCACAAATGAGACCAACATTTCCACTAAGACTTCTTAAGTTGTTTTAGCAATGCGTAAATGCTAACATTTCATAAAATTATCAAATATTTATGGAAAATAATGATGAAGAGTAACAAAATACTTCCTATAAATGTATGGAAGTATGCTAAATGCTTATTTTATTCCTATTACATTTTGCTCGAGCTTGGTAGGGTCCTCGGAAAGAGTACCCATCTCACAAGCTTTCTTTCCAGAGCTGCTGTCCACACATCTGCACTCCCCATGCTCAAAAAATACCTCCTGAATAGGGGAATTTCTTCATTGATGGAATTAATAACAATTGTTTGGCTGAAAGTGCCTTTTCTTTTGCATTTTGGTATATTGTAGATGTTGAATTAGAAACATGTTCTGTGAATGTCTAATTATGTTATCTATGTATTATATTCAAGCACGTGTATGAGTGTATATTCTGCGATAATTTTTAAGTTAATATTTAAGTGGGTAGATTAATTGACTAGTCATTAACTTCATTCTACGGTTCCAAAGTGTGTTTTGTGTGCCAATGTGTGTTCATCAGAAAACGTACTTAGTGGCAGATCTTTTTTATACAAATATTAATATTTATGAAGGAATATGATTTTTCCTTTTGATCACACGCTTTGTAACATAATTTCACAAACATTTTCCAGTGCCACCAGAGCGTCCGTACACTTACATCGTCGGTGTGACGGGAATAGGCATCGCGCTGGTCTTTGGACTCGGCTTGATGTGCTTCTTTTTATGTAAGTTAACGCCGTCATTCTGACATGAAGGTGCTGCTCAGTCGCCACATTTATGTACACAATATAATTGTTTTTTTATAATCTGTTAATACGTTTTATTTTTGTTAACGCTGAACATTTCCTTATAAATATTACTTTATGACAAATTTATTTTATGATTGAATTTCATAGGACTTTAAAGGAAGTAGAACTGTGTTTTCACTACTGGTCGTTAGCTTATGAGTTTTAAGTTTTAGAGTCTGTGTGTGTTTTTAATTTCATCTTTTTAAAATAATGGCCACATTTAAAAAGGTTGCTTTTCTGTGCTGTTGTAAAAGCTAGCCATCAACTTACTGTAACCTATCAGGGTAATGCATGACTCATTTGTCTCTGAAGGTTAGCCACAGTATGCATACAAAATTCAGGATGGAAAACCTTTACACGAGAGTCCACTAGGGAGACCCAAGTATGGCTTAGAAGCAACGTTAAATGTAATCTTACAGAAATACAGTTTGTGAAAAGTTTAATTTATTATCTGACTCAAGTTAAGGTGTAATGAGGAATCTTGAGATAACTGTGATGAAACTTTGGGTTCCCATAAGGGCAGGAAATTTATTGGTCCTGCAACAACCTACCAACTGGTCAAGAAAGATACGTATCCAAGCAGATGTTTGGTTAGTTTATTGGTTAGCTAGGTACTTGCTAGTTAATTAATTAATTGTATAAGAGTAGGGAATTTCTTGATTAGCTGACATGTCGTCTGTTTGAGGCAGTCTTCTTAAAGTGGATAATTTCTAAATTAGTTGAGTAACTATCAAATGCCCAATTACGACCTCTGTCATGGACTTAGTGAGCCATAAGATTTGTACTTTGACTTGTTTCACGTAGCAAAACAAAGCTGAAACTGACTGGAAAAAGTAATTGCTTTTATAAAAGCTGAAAAGTTTGTGGAAACCTAGGTGGCCAGTTTAAATGTATCGTATTTATGAAAATCTAAGTCGAAGCGCTGGTTGAGCCGACTACTAGCTGCCGTGTATTTAATCGTAGATGTGAGGAATGGCTTAAACCCAAAGGCATCATCTGTATGACTAAGAGCGATGCAGCAGGAGGTGTCAGCTATTTGAACATGCATGGTAAGACAGCGTACCTTCACTTGACCTCTTCTTCCTACAGCATCTAACCGTGACTTAGATTCGTGTAAATACGGTACAGTGACTAACCTCTAGTGCAGTGGTCCCCAACCTTTTTGTGCCTACGGGTACATTTGAGAGTTTATGAGATTGTGGCGGGCACCAACCAATTAACAAAGCCAAATTTTCTTTTCTCTGGACAAATAAGATATGGACACTAAATAATACGCAAAACAACAACAACGTTTAATTATACAAGAAACCGTGCAATCAAAAATACGTAGTTTTCTAAGTACAATTATTATTACTCAAGTGGGAAGTTAGTGTGATGTTTGGCGCTGCATTTCATCAGCCAGTTTTCCAAATTTGGGAGTGTAGGATGATGTTGCTGCTCGCAAACAATCGTCAAGATGGGCGTCAGTAAGTCGAGATCTGCGCTTTGATTTTATAATGTTCATGGTTGAACGGCCTTCATTATTCAGTATAACCTCTTTCTGTATCAATGCGGGCACCCAAAAAAAGCCTTGGCGGGCTCCATGGCGCCTGCGGGCTCCGCGTTGGGGACCACTGATCTAGTGGAATGCAGCATGCTAAGATCATCTCTTTCTAGGTCTTGTTTCTGTTACTTCTCAGAGGTGAATTCATGAATGAGGAAACAAGACTAAACTAACCCCATCCCATATTTTATTATTTGTTATGCGTTGTGGGAATAACACTGACCAGCATGAACGTCTTTGCACGAAAGTGTCACAGAGCAGTTACACAGTAGCACTTGCTTTAGTATGTTATTAATTAGTTTCATAAGCCTCATGTAATAAATAGGGAAACTTCAAATACGTTTAAAATTTTGATATAAAATCTCAGGTAAACAGAACACTTGGGATTATGCGTAGAATTGAAAACGGATGTTATGGAACAGATATGAACTGGATACAACTGAAGTCAATTTTGTGATTCATACTGTCATATCAGCTAAATAAATTTAATTCTAAACTGACGTGTACAAATTATTATGTACACTTCATATGTCGCTCATTACCTTGCTGTAGCTGACTGAAGGCATATCTGGAACTCTTAGAGATGGCCTGCAATGGCTGAAATATGTAGGACGACTGGCATCATTTAGCGTGTGCATAATAAAGTTATATGTGATGGTTCACACTGAATTAATGCAACTGGCACAATGTAGGATCCAGTAACTGATTTTTATGACACCAGTAGTAAAAATTTTGCTTCCACAAGACCGTTTCCTGAGCGGTTGAGTAACTGGGAGCCATACAAGGAAGGACGTGTGCCATGAAACTGGGTAGATGTATAGTTGGTTAATTGGTCTGTCAGTCAGCTAACCAGTTAGTTACCTGCTCTCTGTTTCATTATTCATTTCAGTTGATATTAATCTTCTCTCATTAGTCCTCGTCATGGTCCATGTTTCATTCTCTTTTGATTATATTTATCTACTAAAGTCTAGTCTAAATTCCATTTGGTCCTTGTCAGTTTGAAAATGACTTATGAAACTCAGGACTTTGCTGTGAGAGTGTAACAGGTGGTAGCTTTACACGTAACTAACTAACTAACTATCTATCTGGCTTACAGAATCCGAAGGTTCATCACCGAATTAACCAGAGCCCTCCACTGGACTCTATCCTGGGCCAACAAAATCCAGTCTCCTTCATCTCCTATCTCCCATAGATCCCGCCTTAGATTATCCTCCCATCTACATCTAAGTCTCCTCAGAGGTCTCTTCCCCTCAGGCTTCCCAACCATTACCTGGTGCACACCTCTTGTCCCATCCTCGCGCGCTACATGCCCTCATCTCATCGTTACACAGTTTTCTCCATACCCCACCCTCTTCGCTCCTAGGCCCAAATATCCTCCTCAACACCCGATTCCCAAACACCTGCAATCTATGTTCCTCCCTCAGAGTGAGAGACCAGGTTTTGCACCCAGTAGCTTAACACATACCTGCTTTAATAGACAATTGTTCCATATCAATATGAGACTCGGTGGTTCTTATATTTCAAGTATAAAGCAAGTGTGTAACGTCATGTTTCTGTGGACAGATAACAAGTACCAACGCAAGAAGACGGCCACAGTCAGGCATTGGATGAACAGCGGACGAGACTTGCCCCTGAACAGGTTGAGGGAAGCTTCTGATAGTATGATGACCGAGTTCAACCCCAACTATGAGTTTGGTGGAGGGACTTACACCATTCATGACTTAAAGGAAATTCCGCGGGATCACCTGCGACTCGTCAAGTGAGTGGACACTGTCGTTACTTATCCACCTCACGTTATGTTTTTCATTTATTTTATTACAGTCTTTGCATTATTTGCATCAAATGCACAAAAAAGATAAATTAATTTGCAGGTCATGTCTATCTGTTTGTTCATCCATGTGTGTATTGAGGATCTACATTATACAGCATGTTTCAAAAGTATATTTACAACTTGAGGGCGAGATATTGGTGAACTGATAGGAGAAACATATAATTTCAGAAAAACATAGAAATGTAGTGAAACACTTCAAGTTTTATGTCCATCGGATTTTTATGGTTCAATGTGACTTCCATTTGTTATGCGGCGGACGTCCCATCTGTAGTCAATATCTTGCCACATGCGGTGTAGCATCTTCGGTGTCACTTCAGCAACTTGCGGCGGTAATTCGAGTTTGGAGTTCGGCCACATTTGCAGGTAAGGGTGGCACGTACACTCGGTCTTTAACAAATCCCCACAAGAAAAAATCTAAAGGTGTTAGATCCGGGGAACGAGGTGGCCCTGCTATTGGTGCGGCCCGACCGATCCACCGAACATCCAGTCTCAACAAAATTCCTGTGCCACGAGTAAATTGTAGGCCTACTGGGTGGTTCCTTGCGATACTGGGTGCGAAATTTCCTTCGAACTTGTGTAGCAGACTTTGTTTCTTCGAACCAAAAAACACAACAAGCTCGCTCCACACCTGCGAAAGTAGCCATCTGATCACACTGGCCGGGAGCGTTCGCGGTGGCGATTTTCGGTACTACAGTTTATGTGCATGAAATTTGATGTGCTTGGCTAAATTTCTGCATTTAAAAATATTGTCCACGTCCTTTAAATAAATTTATTTTCTCCTGCAAAGTTGTAAATATACTTTTGAAACACGGTGTATTATAACGATCTACAGTATAACTTGTCAGTAAAATTTCATTCTGCTCTTTATGAATCAAATATTACATATTATGTATGTATCATATAATAAAACATTCATACATGACATAAAATATGCAAATGTTTAATTTTTATAATTTTTATTTGATGTATTGTGTGTTGTAAAATAAAACATAAACATGACTTTCTGCAGTTCGGTATGTTTATGAGATATTGAAGAGTGTTGTCCGTCAACCCATCTGAAATGGAAACAATTCCAGGAAAAGAAGAAGAAGCAAAAGTATGTCTTCTGTCGAAATTTGGCTACATACATCTTAACCAACGATAAAAAAGAGATGCCAAATGGAAAAGAATTTGCTTTGTATATATCGTGTTGGGGATTGGAATTTCTCTGTCATGTCTGCTTGCACCTTCTTGTTTGTAGACATGTCGAGAGCTGTAAAAAAACATTTAGGAACATCTTCATTATCCATTAAGGTCTGAGGTACTGATTGTGACTTGCCCATTCTTCCTTATACTTTCACGAGTGCTATTCTCGTATCTGTGCATACTTTCTCTTTCTTCATCTCTCCAATGGTCATTTATTAATTAAATTCATTTTTGTCTTTTTTGAATTAATCCTTTCATTGTCCATGTAACACTGTTTCCTTAATTTGACTATTATTTATAATTTAAAATCTTATCGATCTCTCAGATATCTGCAATAGACGTCAGTACATTGTTTTCATAATGTAGCTTAGTCGGTAGAAATAGGAAAATCACTATTTTATGCTTGAAAGGGGCATTTTTAATATGTGCCTTCACTGCAGGCTATCTGAGAGTCTTGAGGTACCAGCCAGAGACTGTGTTAATTTACCTGTGCCTTGTGTTCTATACAGAGCACTGGGGCAGGGGGCATTTGGTGAGGTATACCAAGGTTTCTTTCGTCACCGCGCTGGAGACGCAGTGGAAATGCCAGTAGCTGTGAAGGTATGTCACAAACAAAGAACTGGCTGTCCTGTACTTAAGGTGCTTGAAGTTAATGAAAAAAGGAGAATATTGCATAATGAGGGCCGTCTAGCGATGTGAGGGTAGTGAATGCGAAGTGTTATGACAGCCTGTACATGTGGTATAAACAGATAAAAATATATCATTATAGTTGGTCTAAAGAGTTAGGAGGATAATATTAAAATGGATCTTAGAAGTGGGCTGTGGGAATGTGAAGTAGATTTTTATTGGCTTAGGAAATTTCCAGCAACAGATTTTTGTATCAGCAGTGTTTAACATGCTGGTATAAGTTTTATCATAGACGTAGTTATGTCGGTCTTTCTGGTACCACGGGCACCCTCCCCAAAATTCTCTTACATCTCTATTAAGTACAATATAGGCTAACTAAAATATAGATAGATGATAGTTTTTTTAATCGTGTGTTTTACTCCAGTGTGAAAGTAAAAGCTGTGATGAAGAAAAGCTTGGAACTTGCAGCAATACGGCATAAAAAACTACACGTATAATCCACTTGACCTATGGACCCCTTGGGCACGATTTGCAGACCCCTGCTTTAGAAACACTTGAATTACATAATTTTGTTCTTCTCCGAAGAAACATTGTCGTGGTGCGCTTTGTTGCAGACTCTTCCAGAGCTGTCAACCCACCAGGCTGAAAGTGACTTTCTCATGGAGGCACTGATCATGAGCAAATTCAGCCACCCGAACATCGTTCACTTTATCGGGGTCTGCTTTGATAAGCACCCACGCTTTATTGTACTGGAGCTGCTTGCAGGTGGTGATTTGAAGACGTTTCTCAGAGAATCCCGCCCTAAACCGGTAAGAATCTGTGCGTATGTGTGAGTCTTCTGATAATGTTTAAATTCATTGATGAATTGCAGCGAAATTTGCTACCATTTAAAGACTACTCTACGTTTATATTTTCTCATCGAAGAATTACAAGGAATTGCAATGTGTCAACTTTAGTCTTCTCATTCTCATATTCCTTCTTATCTTCTTCATCCTGCTTCTCAAAATCCTCCTTCTCTATTCCATTGTCCCCTTCTTTTGTATCTTTCGTCTTCTTCCTTGTCTTTTCTCTCGCTTCACTCTTTTTCCTCCTTTATTTGACATTGACCTATTCTGACCTCGGTCTAACATTTGCGATGCCTACAGGAGAATTGAGGAGGCCATGGAAGAAGAAGTGTCTCTTCCTCATAAACATGTTTTATGATCATCGTATCGTAGTAGGAACAAACAACATTTACGTGTAGTGTGATGGCTTGACTGCAGCGTTTGATGTAGTACTGTGGCGTGTGTTGTAGGGACGGCCTTCTCCCCTCACAATGAAGGACTTGTTGATGTGCGCTATGGATGTTGCAAAGGGCTGCAGATACATGGAGCAGAATCGTTTCATCCATCGTGACATGGCAGCTCGGAACTGTTTGCTCACCACGAAGGGACCGGGCAGGGTTGTTAAGATCGCTGATTTTGGCATGTCGAGGGACATATACAGGTACACACTATCTATGCCTTGAAATTAAGCTTAGATGAGAAACAAGTGACTATCTACTGTGTGAAACTTCAATCGCTTCAGGAAAACTAGCAATGGCTGGGGGTTCGTCGTGCTGACCACACGTCACCCTGTATCTGGTTGGATGATCGTTCACTTCTGCTTAAGGCATGTGAACGTGAGGCCAGCAGCCAGCTAGTCGGCTTTGGCTATCAGAGGGCTGTTACGCCACTGATTTATTTTAATTTTAATGGATTTATACTAGTTATTAATGTGTTCTTAAATTTTCACAGTCCTTTGGTTGTGTTGTATCTGTTATTTAGATATGTATACTTTAAATAAGTTAGACACCGACACAAATACTAGATACTTAATTCCGTCCAGGTGTTTGGGATTGTGAAACATTAAAACTTAGCACACGCTAGTACCGAGACAAATATTGCATTACTTCAACATTCTAGTGTTACATATAATTCTTTTTAAATGTTTTATGGCAGGTCTACAAAGAAGTGGCATGAAATGGTTCAGGATAACTGAACATAAAAACAAATTTAACACTTTTCCACTTAAAGGTCCAGAAACAAAAGCTTCATTTCAGTTTTACTGGCTGCCGTTGCAACTTCTATTTGAACGTTAGATCTGTAAAATGGAGAAATGCCCTCACATACGTGATAATGATCAAAATGGCTCTAATTCTTGTGTACATGACCAGAGCAGTTTTATTGACCGTCCAGAAGAGGGTAGCGTGACACATAAAATAGGTTTTACGAGGCTGTTTAAACAGAACGTTCTAGGATGAACATAAGACACCTATTATTCTTTTTACGTTAAACATTTCTATTTAGATGAATAGTATATAAAATAATAATTATGGAAGTTCATGATCCATTTATGTGCATAATATTTAAGTACAGAGTCCCTGCACCTGGAAGTTTACAACCGTAACCACAGAATATTACATCTTTTAAATGTTTATAATTTTTAATATTAAATTTGTAGACATATTTCTGGTCTCTCTTTATAGTACAACGCTTTCATCAGAGTTACGCTACACCAAGTCAGCTGTGCCAGAACTAAAAATATATGCTGTGCTGACTACATTTTTTATTTTCGAATATCATTTGAGTTTTGCAAGTCTCGGAGTACATGATGTCACGGACTGTAACGCACAAAAGGATCTTAGTTGTTGTTACCACCTTAACACTTGTGAAATTATGGAATTAGGTACAAGATCGCATTGCTTGTATCCCTCAGTTACATTTTGAAATAACAAGAAGAGAGAGAAATTGAGTGTTACCATTTAGATGTGTGCACAAAGGCCTGCCAGTCTACAAAATTGTAGGACTGTACAATCCCAAACCAAGCAGCTAAAGAAATAAAATATCTGAAACAAAGATTATTTTTTAACAGAATTTAATTTATTAGGGAAATAATCCTTTGACTTGAACTGTTCTACTATGAATCATTTCTCAAAACATTGTTTACAGGTCTTGTTTTTTGATAACTTGGTCTGCAATTGTGAGAAATTTTCTGATATTACGAAATAAGATGATCGGTCATCGGTGTCCTGCACAGATATTAACAGCGGTGTCTTCTATTTCATTTCTGAGTGTAGACTTTCTTGTTTTCAGAGCCGACTATTACAGAAAAGGCGGTAAAGCTATGCTTCCCGTAAAATGGATGCCACCTGAAGCATTTCTGGATGGTATCTTTACTACAAAAACCGATGTCTGGTAATCGCATGTTCTCTGTCTTTTGTGTGTGTTGAAATTCTGTTCTTCCCGCATGTCATTTGGTCTTGATGTGAAAATGGCGTGTTTGTGTGTCAGGTCATTTGGCGTTCTGCTGTGGGAAGTGATGTCACTTGGTTACATGCCATATACTGGCTGCAGCAACAAGGAAGTTATGGATCTTGTGACCAGTGGGGGCCGCCTTGAACCTCCCAGTAACTGCCCCGGACCCTTATATGGGGTCATGACGCAGTGCTGGCATCCTAATCCAGATGAGCGCCCCAGCTTCAGCACCATAATGGAACGGCTCGGATACTGCTTGCAGGTAAGTGGCTGACTGAAATCACTTAAATGATGTTACAATGGTCGATTCACAGTTTCTCAAAAGTTAATATTTCCGAAGCATCTGCGGTGAGATTGTCAATAAGGTGTTTGTACAGCTCAATATGACACACATTCTGATGCAACCAAAGTTAGCTTGGCTGCCGTGTCAAAATTGTCGAATAAATTGTCGTGCTTGCACAGGACCCCAGCGTGGTGAATGCGCCATTGCCCGTGTTCTACCGCCCTCCCTCTTCAGAACGTGATGCCACCATCATGCGCCCTCCTGAGCACGAAAACTCATGCCTACACGTGCAGAGAATCGCCGACTACCTGGTGCCACTTCCGGGGCCCGGGGTCCCCGAACTGCCCTCATCTCCCTCCACAAGTAGCGTGTACAAGCTGCTGGCTGCCAACTCATCATCGAACTTGGAAACGAGCTTTGTGATGCCGGAGTCCAAGTCGACGCAGTTGCTCCTGGAGGAGGTGTTGTCCAGCAGCAGCAGCAACTCGGGCAGTGCAGGTGAATAGAGTGCAAGCTGGAGGAGGTTTGCGTCCAACGATTGGTTTTGTTGTTATTAGTGTCGAGCCTTTGTTTTCTGCTGTGACAGATTTAGTCAGACAGGTGATTCGTTAGTTAGATAGTAGGTTAGTTAAATACGTATCTGAACAATTGCTGAGAAATACTCAAGAACGTTTGAAATATGTTCTTCTGTTCAAAGTTGGCAAAGTTTACAAATATGATATTTCAAATTTTATATCCGTCACTGTTCTGAAGACGTCCAGTACGGATATCACACTGCGCATGGTCATGACTTTTCTTCGTTAGTTAAATGTTTTTTTTTTATTATTTTTGTTCAATGAGCCATTTCTGAGAAAGTCGGTAAGTTCTGACGTACACAAATTTTCTTTTGGACTTTGTCCATCATCTAAATTATAAACTTACAAAAACTACAACATTCCAGAAGTTGATTTCTGCTCTTGTCTTTGGACTGTACCAAATCCAAGAGGAGCTGAAAAAGAGGGCGCAATACTTCGGCTCTCTGTTCTTTTTCTTTATTTCTACATGGAGACAGAAGTGGAATCCAGCTTCCGAAATAGTTTAATTTTTATAATCTCGTAATTTAGATGATACATAAAGTCAAAAAGAACAGTTTTACGTATTATAATGTACCGTCATCAGAAACTCCCGTACGTAATCTCATTAAATTCTGGTTGAGTTTCACAATGAACTGATTCAGGTAAAAATTAAATATATCGAACAAATTCACCGAATTGAGTTGATGTCGTCTCACGCACTTTGTGCCGACATGTTTCAGAGAAACCTGCAGCGCTTGGCAGTCTGGTGAGTCTGGACAAGCCATCACCTAACAACAACAATAATAACAATAACAACAACAACAACCCACAACACAACAGCCTGAAGGCTAGCTTGTCCCTGGACGCTGGAGCACTGGCCAAGCAGCCTCTTCCGTACGTTAATGTGAGCATGACCCCCTCCCATGTCTTGGAGCCCGAGGTCAAGTCGCAGGGACGACCATTCACCGTTGAGGGAGCAGTCTGCAGGAAACTTCTCTCAGACAATGAGATCTCATGCTAAAGGGTGTCAGACGCTCGGCGCGAATATCGCACTGCCTCTGGCTCTCCTGTCTTTGCGTACCTTGTCGTCAACAAATATGGCTGCCCTGTGAACGTAAGAGGTGGAAAAACAGTAGTGCCATAATAAGCAGGGTCATGACGTTTTATATGTGAAAAATATGCTACTTTTATAAAGGTTAATTTGTTTTTAAATATTTAAAATGACAACATGGCGACCACTGAAAATGTGTCGTGGCGACAGTAATCGTGACTCGCCACGTGACGTTCTTGAGAACCCGAGTGCTTTTAAAACTTATCTGGTCCCGCAGACTGTGTTGTCCGTCTCAGTCATTCCCCCAGGACCGGATTCTGAAACTGAAGCTTTCCTATTTTTTGATAGCGGGAGGAACACGTTTTTACTTCGTCTGTGAAGTAGCTGAAGTACAAGTAAGTTTTAATACAAAAGACTGTGTCTGTGTGGCTTTACAGGAAATCGGCTGTCACGGCCTTCGATATTCTTGTTTTTACGTGTTTAGGAGGACGTAAGTTTCGCCATTAAAGTTGGTTAGTGAGCGTCGAGAGAATTTCTTTGAGATGTTTCTGTTATTTTCAGAACGGTAGGAGATCCCGCGAGTCACGGTTTTGATATTTTTTAGATGCTTGGTGTGACCATATAGTTGAGAGTGGCCAGGTTCAGATCCCGTTAGAAGCATGGCTCCGTGTAACAAGGGCACAACACACTTGTGACTGTTACATAGGCACTGCCTGCTGCAGTTTGCGTACCTGAACGCACTCTGCCACCCGCGGCTAACGAGAGCTTGCATCCTTTTTTTATTTAAGTTGACTTCATGTTCCAAACTGTTTCCTAACTCACAGAAGATTAAAATTCATAAAAATGTAACTTATCTGTTGTTTTATGTGCGTGTGAAACGTCTGTCGCCGTGAAGGAAGTATACAGATCGGGAGCATCTGAGAAAAAACACGTGATTTTCATCTCATGTTGTCAAAAAGTTTAACTAATGGGTATATAGTGCATATGAGGGAAATAGGAAATGGATAAATAATTTTGGTAAGAAAACCTCAGGCGAAGAGAACTAGACACGAATAGCAAGATAATATTGGAGTTGCCTTCGGAGGAATAGATTTTAAAGTGGGAACTAGGCCAGAATAGGATTCGGTGTTGGGTTTGTCAGAATTATGATGAAAATTTTGGTTAGAGATTTGTTGACGAGCCGAATGTCTGTAAGATGATCTCGGACGACCCCGTGCCACGCAGTTTTCCGGAGGAAGAGTGCGTTCGGGTGCCATCGCAGGATGGCGCAATGTTCTCTTTACGTATAAACCGTCTTTATTCCCTGATCACTTTCATTCTATTGCATGTACGTTGAGTCAACACGAAATTCAAATGCTCAAACCTACGCAACAAGAGACACTGCCACCTGGATTAGGGGTGGTAGGTTAGGGGTTTTGTCTGCGCCACCCCTAGGCATGGGCCATTGTCGCAAGTAACGAAGCTGGCATTAAGTTATGTGTCTCGCCATCGCATGGGGCTGCCACCCTGCCTGTCCTTCCTACTCGTGTCGTAGTCAGTAGTGTTTCTGCTTCACCCTGGGTTTGATTCCCAGCCTGGGGGCCAGCTGTTGTTAGACTTTCTGTGGATTTACAGATCATCTCCAAGAAAATCCTGGGACAGAATCTTAAGTAACAATCATGCCATTGTACAATCTATCATTATAGTCGTGCTCCCATTTGTCATTACGAGAAAGTTTCATTAAATAAACTAAGACATTTCTGAGGATAATCGTTATCAACGTTGCACATGCAATTAGAAGTTTATTAATTTTTGAGGTAAGGAGCGTCTCATCAAGCTACTACCGGACTACACGACATAGCAACCCAGTTGATCTTCATACTTGCCGCCACGAGATCCTCAAATCTCACTATGAAATATCTTTCTGTCATTACAAAAGATTCAATCCGGTTAATCGGGACGCATACAGCCTCAGACATTTCTTGAACAGTCATCCTTTGCCCCTTGATTTAATGTACTTTATCATTAATTTTGTAAGTCTGTTAATTTGCATTTTATTTAAATAACAAACATTTATGTTTTGAAATTTTGAAACTTTGGTTAAGTATTCGATTTTTAACGACAGTTCCTTTAATTTTGTTTCATTTCTATTTTGCGGTCTGTCTAATGAACATGTGCCATTGTAAACTTATAATTGAGTATGACTCAAGAGGTGCATGAAGTTAATTAATCTATAATTGATTTAAATTTCCAATTAATCTTTTCAGAGATTATTTTAATTTTTACTAGAAATTGTACCACGACTTAAAATTTTATTTTCCACACCCTCAGTTGAATTAATGCAATCCTGCATTTTGCTGCGTGTTTTACTAATGCAGATGGATATTTCATGTCGCTGCGCTAAGTTACAGGACATAATAATGGAAATGTGGGCTTTCATATAGTCATTCCAGACATTTTGTGTCTGAAATAAAATATTTGCCAAAATAATAGTACAAAATGTACCTGATATCCAATGTTTTTTTCTTTTTACAATTAAGGGTAAAATTATCTGTGTCTGTGAGCGCCGGGTGTACGCGTCATTTGTAACCCCAGTGCTATACGTAGGTCAGCTGCATGCAGGTGCCTATCGCAGAGAAGGCAGCGGCGAAGAGAGATTTCTGCCCCTGCCTAGAATCAAACCCCCCACAGCCAGGCTGAGGTATCCCATCTCATAGTTCACGCTGTGCATGCGATTCCACCTTCCTGGCCCATATGTGAAATTTGCCAACATTACTGTATAATATTTTGTTGTTCTCCCCGGGCAAGGTTTGCGTTGGACGTTTAGACCTTGTCCGAGATCCTTGCTTGTGGCAGCCCCCAACACGTCATTTTGGGGGGGAGCGGCGTAAGTGTATGATTGTTAGATATACATTTTTATACACATATAACAAACAATAATTAATAATAATTATAAGAATAATACGTGGTTGTAAATGTTCGTGGTCACCAACAGAAGAGCTTATATTTTCATGTTTGAGCCCTCGGATCCATTTAGATAGCAGGAGAATTCCCTACATGTCATATTGTGCACATGGATTCAGGCAGTTGGGACCCTCAAGTCGTGTTCGGTTGGCGGTCGAACCGTGAGGATTACGGAAGACACGATCATGGCTTATTGCAGGGTACCATACGGATCCTCTTTAGAAGGGACTGAGAGAAGAAAGAAATATATTGAATATGCGTCTGGACAGCTAACCTCTACACCACGATGTTGAGTTGTTAACATTATTGTTTACAGAAATGTAAATATCACTTTGTAACCTGAGATTCCCTCAGGAAACACTGTACTCTGGGTCCAGGTGCCTGCATGTTCTGTTCTGCCCACCTTGTGTCGATGTGTGAGGTGTCTCTGTTTATGATTAGCCGTGTGAGTGTGATATATGTACCGTAGTTCAGGGTTGCCTTGGTTGGAATAAGAAAAATAACCAAGATCAATGTCACCAGCAGAAAAGTTGTAATAAAAATAAACATGAATTAAAATGAGACTTTATTTCTTATCATACCTGTCCCACGATTAAATCTAGTAGTATAACTCCCCTCAGGGGCCCACGTTAGTGGGTACGGGGAGTGGCACCCCCGAGGTACCCAAGCTACCCAGTGTCTGTGTGGTGTCATAAATACAGAGGCCTGGTTTTCCAACCCCACCCTGGAAAAAACGATGTTATGAAAACTCGAATATCGCCTCGGAATTCAGACTGGAACGACAGAAGATGATAAAGCAAGAGAGTTTCTGGGAACTGGGATAACTGGAGGTGCAAAATCGAGGAGGCCAAGGTCAGATTTGTGCTGTTAGCGCCATTGGAGAGAGAGAGAGTATAATATTATCTAATGACAGAAAAAGACCAAAGTCATAATGAACTCTTCTGGATCACAGTAGGAACTCGAGATTGCATCTGGAGAAGAAAAGTTCTATTTATATAAAATCATTGGTTTGAGCATTTACAGCCAATTGAATATTACAGGCTGCGAGAAAAAATAGAATGCCATTAAATATGGAAGAGATGACTGACACTGAGTGACTCTCAGAACTTGTTGAATGATCGTGAATTGGGTTTTTACGTCAACTCCGTAGAACAAAACCCGGAGATGTGGACAGCGCGACATACAGACGAAGATGCTAGGATATGCAGTTGTCCTCCCACTGCTTCGGAGGAATTACTGTTGACAACTCTTATCCTTGAGACCAGAATTACATGATTCTCTTTCTTATTGTTAACAAGGAATAAATGAAATAAACAAGTGTATTAGAAAGAAGATTTAATGTATTTGTTAGATATTTTATACTTCAAATAAAATTATTACACTGACTAAGGTGACAGTTTGTTTGACGTATATTTATATTGAACCCTAAGAAAATGAAGTTTGGAAACGGGGAATTAATTGTTAAATGAACTGTGTAAAGAAAGTAAAATATCCACTGTTCACATTGTGATGCATACGAGGTGCGATCGGAAAGTTTCAAGACTGCGCGTATAAAAACCCGTACACTTATCTCAGGTATTAAATTCATCCATCACCCGCTGCCAAGCCTGGAAGCATCCCTGGAAATCTTTCTTTGTCAGCCTGTCAAGCACCATCTGCGATTCTGCCTGAATCTCTTCTATCGTCTCAAATCTCCTTCCCTTTAGCTGAATTTTCATCTTTGGGAAGAGGAAGAAGTCACACGGAGCTTAGAAAGGAAGTTGGGGTCGGTTCTTGCAAGATCTTTGAGCTCCTGACAAACGAGAAGTCGATTCTGCTTCTGGTCCTCAGACAGGATGCGTCGCATGTGGAGTTCTTCCTTTAGAATCAGCTGACAGGTCCCATAGCCTATCCCAACAATGTCGCACAAGTCGTTATGGTACGACGTCGATCTTCGTGAATGGCCTGCCGAATCTTGGTAACATTTTCGGGCGTTGTGCTCGAAGATGGTCGTCCAGAACGCTCGTCATCATCGACAGGGGTTCGGCCATTTTTAAAACGTGAATGCCACACAAAAGTTTGCGGACTCCCCAAATGTTTGCTTTAGCATTTCATAGGTTTCCGTAGCGGTTTTGGCGAGTCTTTGGCAAAATTTGATTTGTTCATGAAAATCCGCCATTCCGAAATCGCAGGAGGGTCGGTGTAATGACCTACCAAAACGCCCGTAACTAAGAAACAAATGCTAATTCGATGATGCCGGCTGGCACACTGATTCACTATGAATGTAGGCCGCACCCCCTATCGGCAGAAGCTCGTACTACATCCGGTTCGCCCTCAATTGACAGTCTGGAAACTTTCCGATCGCACCTCGTATATGCAGTTGGCGACAAAATATACCCTAAGGTAGTATAACAAGGAGGAAGACGTAGGTAATGGCCACACAAACATGCATAAAGAGGATTCATAACACTGGCAGGAAAAGGAATATGATGGAAAATTAATCACACTGAAAGAAAATGTACAGCGAGCCAGAAAAACAAGGAAGAAAACATAAGGGAAGACAGACAAACAGAGTGAGACAAACAGAATGAGGTTGAAATCTGAGGAACAGAGCAGAGGATTGGCTAAACGGCAGAATATTCCATGCCACAAGACAATGAATTGTGTGATGCTGTAGACAGTCCACTAAATTCAGTTTGTCTTTTCAGAGCATAGCATCGGTTGTGATCACCTGTCCGTGGACTGGATATCCGGGGTTCGGTTACCAACTTCGTGATGGCACTGAGTCCGGAATTGCATCCAGCCAACTAGGGAGAGTGGATTTTTTCATGCTGTGAAATCTGCAGGAATTTACTGGTAACTGTAATAACCATTCAATAAAGAACCTAACAGAAATATAAAATATCTACTCGTAATATAATAGCCAATGTCCACCACACTTGACTACGAGTGTGGCGTTAGTGTCTTACGGGAAAAAAAAACAAATTAAATTCTGACTGTGGCGACTCTGGTAGCAAGAAATGAGACTCAGAGGGGTCACGCGGTTGGTTTTATGTTGATGCGTTTGGTAGGAATGTTTAAAACTCGTGTAGGCGTACATTTAAGTACCTTAAGTTAAAATGGTTATAACCTGTAGATCAGGGTCGCCAACCCGTTTATGTGAGGTTAAGAATAAATAGGGGCTATACCATTTCTCCCCCAAAGCGCCTATATGGCGTATAGAGGGACAGCTTTACTTTTATACTTTTTACAAAACAGCTCGTCTTTAATACTATTTTTCTAGATTAAGAAACATTTAACATGAAAACGTACACATTTTTCCACATTTGTTATCTATACCCCAAGTTTCAGAAACTATAGGCTTGTGTGTGCATCTAAATGAACTTTATGATTTCTAAGAAAGGGGGAAAGTCAAATTTTGTTATTCCCTAAGAATGCATGCCTATGGTCTCACTCCAACAGAAAGTCGGTATCTGTGAGTGCGAGACTACACGAATGCTGGGGAAAGTTCAGGTTACTAAGATAAAGTCGATGACAAACCCATTTCGGAACAAATTTAGAGGCAAACTTAGGAGGTGCATGACCCTTGCAAGGTGGCGAGGCAGAGGCCATAGTTGGTTGTTGTAATTTAATTATTTTAGGTTAGGTTAAGTTTGTTTACTTTTGGTTAGGAAATTTAGCTTACGTTAGGTGAGACATTGTTAAATATATTAAATTGGATTTTGTTTGGTCAGGTTAGGTTAGATAACGTAATGTTAAGTCTATATTAAATTATCGATTAGGTAAAATTACTGTAGGTCACATCAGGTGATTTTATTTTAAATTATATTATTCTGGTCGTCTTACGTTACGTCAGATTAGGTGTGGTGGGTTTAGTTGTTTTAGATTTTGTTAAAAAAATGTTACTTTACTCCTTAAAATTGGATTTTGTTTGCCCAGGTTCGGTTAGATTGGGTTTTGTCAGGTTAAAACTGGTTATGTATTCGTTTTAAGTTGTGGTACGTTAGGCCAATTGTGGTTAGGGTTGGTTGTTTAAATTTGGGCTGGAAAATGTTAGGTTCTCATAAATGTTTTAATATTGGAATTTCGAATATTTTTAAGATGTGCGATATGTATATATATTTTCGTAGGACAAGGCGGAAATGAATACTCCCAAATTGGCGTTGCAAAGAACGCGTTAGAATACACTACCGACCTTGTTAGTGCATGCGTGCATTACCATTACGTATAGCGAGAACGGACAGTGGGACTCATAGTTTCACCTTTACTTAAGAGATGGCGGGAACAAGCGTTTGGTCCAGTTTTGCAGCTTCCGTTGTGCAGGGTTACTGGGTACAATGAACCCAATTGTAACGGAGTCGATAGCAATTCCCGGCTAATTGTGTCTGTAGAAGACTGTATCACCTCTGGTTGCTACGATATAGCGTCTAAGGGTTGAAATACACAAATTACTAGTCTACAGATGGATTAGAGGAAATTAAAGTAACCAATTTTTTGAGGGTTGTGTTGAATGCTTTAATACTTTAAACGACTCCACGATAATCAAAGATTGGGTCTTCGACTATTTAATAACCCTGTTTCAGCTACAGAGATTACTTAGCGTTGAATACAAATTAAAAATTTTCGAGAATCGTGGTCAGGTATGAACATGGCTGTCTTCTGGGCTGCTGTGCTCAGTGTTGTGTCGAGTGGACTGAGCAACTAATTCATTTCACACACTCACACATTTACCCAAAACCCCACTGGCCACAACTTAATATTACCTTAACTTCTATTAAAAACGAACGAAGTCCTGTGAACGTTCTAGATGCTAATGGCGCTGACCGCAGATTTGATCATAATAAACCAAACAGCTCCCCTGAGTTCCGGTCATGTGACATTTTATTGCGTCCCGCAATGTAGCAGTCACTTGTTTTCAGTTGAGATGAAAGTCCTAGTTCGGGGAATTCCCACTTGTTTCTAACCTGCAAGATAAAACCCGAGCTTAAACACGTCGCCCTCACAAATATCTGACCATAGAATTTCATCTGAGTTATTATTCGTTCTTTTCACGATGTGAAAGGAGCGAACGAATAAATAGATGACCTTGTCTGTCCGTCTGTCCGCATAATTACACTAAAAAACTTTTGGTATGGATTTTGATTAAATTTAATACGGACGTTTTACCACTGGATACTAACCTAAACTTGCACTCTATAATTTCGATCGGTAATACCAACATGACGGACGCACAAACTTGTGAGGTGGGAGACGATGTAACGATGTGTGGTGACAGTGGATTTTAATACAAATATCAGATTAATAAGCTTGAGCTTTATATATATATATATAAATATAAAATGGTGTCCCCTCTGCTTAGCAAATAATTTATCGACGTCCTCTTAACTTTTTTGTGTGTGCTTGTGTATAAAGAACATATTGATTTGTTAATTATTTTTAAAATACGTATATTTTAGGTTTTTATCATTAAATAATATTTATCGAGATTTCATAAATATTATTGAGATAATTTACTTGTGTGACAAATCGAAATCTCATTCAAAATGATTTTTAAAAAAATGTTTAATGTAGGAATGAACAGA